CTAGCAGATCATTGAATGATAAATTAAAAGTGCTCTCTACGAATATAATCACCGTAGCACTGTTGTCGATATGAAAAGTTTATTTTTAGTGTGAGTAGAATGAATCTAATATTGCTATGTAACGGTTACTCTTAACATTAGAAACTGGAAAATTAAAAACATCTAATTACCTCTTCAATGATACTTCCTTCGTGATGTCGCCCGTATGCTTTGTCTGGAAATACGACGATCCGATATGCAGGACGGTTTTTACATCCAAATAATGCCAAACCAATAGACGGTCTGCCAGCTGAGTATTTCAGTCTTGTAGCGGTCCTTAGCATCTCTCTAGCTTTCCAACTAATTAATGGACATCCAGCAGTCTTCTTTGTTCTATTATTTACTTCATAACCAATACAAGATCCAAACAATTAATGCAAACACAACCCACAAACGCTAACGACAACCAATCACGCCCGATCCTTCCTACCCACCACCTCAACACGGTCCATTAACGAAAATTTCTGTCTCAATAGCATCAATTGCATTGTTCCAGATCGCTGCTGAGATTCGTAATTAAAAGTTTTAATCGCTCTTTCTTTCTGTTTCCGGAATCCGTAACATTCTTTAAATGGACTTCAGGTTCAACTTGTATGTTATGGTTAGCAGTCCTTTCATACAGATCACTTATTATAGCATGATTTTAAAGTACATTACTCTCTGCTTATCTTCGCCTAAACTTAGAAGCTCAAAAAGTGTAAACATCAGTATACGATTTCGTTATCGAGGATTCAGTAAATGAGCAATTGAATTAAAAACGTGAGTACCCTTCGAATCACCGACAAAGTCAGTGGACTACATTTCATAATCCTTCTTGATATTCTGTGGATTGCGTATGAACAGAAAAGAAACAACGTTAGACACGTTCCACAATTTATTGCATAATTAAGGAAACAGTAATATATTTCACAAATTTTGTTCCGTGTTGCATTATATTTCTGATGGTTTTAAGCGATGGTCACTCACTGGACATCATTTCCATAAATTCTGAAAGTAAACTATTATTGGATATTATAAAGGAGAAAAGAGCTGAGATTTGACAAGGAACTAAAAATAGGTCTATATTATGATTTCCTACAAAACTGACAGATCATTGTTGCTTTTTTATAGTCTCATATCTTTTTTAAAACAAAATATAAAATTCAAAAAATCATCAATTCTGAAAAATGCCTTTAGAATTATGAAAAAATAAATGTAATTTTAGCTAACCGTCAAAATCAACAGTACCGGAACCATCCGTATCAATATCAGCAATCATTTCATCCAATTCTTCCACGGAGATATTTTCATCCAGCGCACGTAAGATATCACGCAAATCTGATACTGCTATATAACCATTGCCCTTAAGATTAGAAATTAAAAAATCATAAAATTAAAAGGTATTTCTAAACTACCATTAATGCTCGTTTTGCCACGCAGAGCAGCGTTAGATATGGCAAAACAATGATTTAAAATATATATTGTCAATACTGAAGATATTATTTGATTGAACTATTAATTTCCTTTGTAATTAAAAAATGACATATCACTACTGAAAAGTACTTTCTCCTGTAATTAAGCCAGAGGATATTAAACTATTTAATAGTAATTATCCGTTCTTCTTCGGCAAAGATATCAGTAGAATGGTAGGTAATATAAGGAGAGAAATGTTTCGTGTGAATTGACAAACAATCTCATTCTGGAATGATTCATTAAGTTTCTGTTTCATATGCTTAATACAACCTGAAATTAAAAAGTTCTTATTACAGTTAAGCACTAATTTCATAAATTAGCAATTGCTTTCTTAACATGATCACCTCTTTATCGTACAAACGAAATGCTTCTCGCAATTCCTCCTCAATGCCAGCCTTTTCATCTTCAACAACAAAAGTGGCAACCATTGCTGCAAATTCTTCGAATTCAATCTCACCTGATCCTGTAAAAAATGTATAAAGTTTTTTGTGAATTATTCCAACTTCTATTAACTGATACTGATAATTGCATAAGTATGTTTGAAATTTTTTGAAATTTCAACTATCGATTTATAACTAATCAACTTTCTTGACCATTTACAATGCAATTCAAATAAATCAAAGTGCTTTTATTGCATAACTCGGATCCTTTCGCTAAACATCCATCGATTTAATTTATTCAAGTAAAACTAACGTGAAAGACAGAAATGGGAATGTCATTATAAGGTCGAAGAGAATAAAATTCTCAAATAACCCATAATGCATAATCAAGAAATGTGGATATTAAAAAATGACACATTTTCGGAACTATATACTTTCAATGTGAAAAATTCTTTCATTTTAATTGTGAATAATGCACCATCGGTATCGAATTCTTTAATGAGTTTCTTCAAATCTCTTTCTTCGAATGCTTGGCCCATAGTTCTTAAAATTTGACCAATTTGTGTTGCTCTGATAAAACCTTTGTTTTCTTTATCGAACGTATTAAAATATTTCCGAAATTCTAAACAAAATTTAGTCGGAATGTTTTGCTGGTGTGTATGTAAAAGTATGCACAAAACTTTAAAAGATATTCAAAAACACGATTTTAAATAGTTGTTTGCAGCACTTGAAATTGATAAAATTCAATAAAAGAAAATCGCAAAAGTTGAGTTTTAAGAGGATTATGTAGGATATTAAACGGATTTTTGTGATTCGCATTCAATTGATTTACTTTGCACGATGGCAATGATTTGAGTAAAGAATTGTGATAATTTTTACATACGTTCGATCTGTTCTGTCGAAAGCTGACTAAGAGCATCTGTAGCATCATTCCCACCATCCTGCAATTTCAAATTTTTATTTTGAAAACAAAGCAGATTGGCATTATTAGAAATTGTTGGAAATGAGATATGAAATGTTAAATGCATCCGATATAAAATTAACCCATAGTTAATTACTGAAATTTTATTTCTTCCTCATGCCCTATCATTTAACAGATTATTCAAAAACAAGGTTGCTTTCACTATTAATTTTCTAAGTCAACAGAAATTAACTAACCATTTACAAAAATTGTAGCGTTGTAAATTAGTGAATTGGCAAGCAAGCGGATGACAAGAAAAAATATTTATTTAGTAACTATGAGAGGAAAAGAGAGCTGATGAGTGGCTAGAAAGTGAAGCTAATTTTGCTGGAATTTTAAAACCGGATTTTTTTTTTCGGTTTACTTTACAGCACAACATTTAATTCAATTTAGAACAGATATTTACTATGCTAACAAACTATTGCACTAGCAACATTTATTTAATATTATTCCTGCTACCTCTCTATTTTAAAAACGTTCTGAGATACTCACCTTTGTCCTCTTCTGTTTAATTCTGTTTTGAAGTGGAAATTTTCCAAAAAAACTGTCATGAGAATTATAATTTTACTTTAGCAGTAGTTTGCAGTACACTGAAAATTTTTGGTTGCAGTGTCAACACCTAAAATCGGTCGCTTTCGATTTATGTGACAGATATGCCTTCAACAAATTGCACATCAGACCTTTGCGCATAATCGGTTTTTAAAACAACAATCGAAAAAAACAATATAAAAAAGGAAGTGAATTAATTGTAAAGCTTTGGTACATTACTGGATACCACCCTACAATAGTAAGCTCATATACCCCAAAATACTCGGCAAAAGATGATCCAGTCGGTGATAACTTTTGTTACTATCATATGCTCGCATCGAATGTCGATCAGTGTCACGACATCGCAGCGAATCATCATCCCTTCATGTGCCCATCTTTAGCTTCGTTCTTTCAATTTGCATGTACATAATCAATTTGTCAATGATTTAACAAAACTTCAAAAGACAGTTAATTAGTATTGATAAATGATAAATGCAATAATAGCACCATCACTAACTATTCTATGCCGAAAATTACAAACTGCAACAAAGAGACTTAACAATCTTATAAAAGATAGTGATGTAATAAAACAATAAACAACATAAAACCGAAAACGTCGGAATTCAGCTAATTATGATGGAACTCCAGAAAATAAGGTTCAGAAGGTGAAAATATTAAGATATTTACTGCTATTTTAGATTAGCATCACTCAAGTACTACTCACCAAATAATGATTTCGATTTTTTAATGCAAAAAGATTACTAAATCCGTGATAACTTAATAATAAAATAACTAAAATGAATGATTAAGTAAAATAACAGATGAAATGATTGCAAAGGTTTTCTACAAATTATTTCATGAATTTTCACCTCCAATTTTTGAGTATTGCATAAGATATTCATCTATTTTTTAGCTGTGTTAATCAGTTAATTGCTACAAACTTAAGCTAATTTTGATAAGACGAGGAATATTTTCATAAGTAATGATTTTAAGAAGAGAATTGAAATAACTTTCAAGCATTCACGCAATCCCACAGTTGGGAAGAAATATATCAAAAAAAAAAGTGATTTCCAAGATTTCCCATTGAGACAGAAGACGTAAAATTCAACTGTGATCAGAAATATCTTGATCGATCAAAAATAGTGAAAATTACATTAATTTCAAAGTTTATTAAATTTTGAAATATCAAGTCATTGTTTCTACCAAACATCTAATTTTCGCATCTTCGAAATGTTTTGTTTGATGAAAATTCCCGTCGTATGTTAATCAATTGTGATGAGATTCGTAAGTTTCGTAAACATCCCTTGTACGGTGTTTTTACTGGAAAACTTCGTGGTACTTTCTTTTTTCCACCTAGATTAAAAATTAGTCAAAATTTTCGCAAAAACTAATTGATATGAATCAAATAATGGTAGAAAGAAAGAAGAGAAAAAGTAATTTTTAATTTCACCTTATCATCGTCAAGATTGTTCTAGCAAGCTCAAATATGCATAAATGCTGCACAGAATTTTTTTTAAACTTTCAGAAATAAATCTCAACTTCAACTTGAAAAATAAATGTTTACCAATCCAAATAATTCCATCAGTGATTAACTCTGTGGTACCAGACGGTAAAATATAAGTAATTTTTTCACTATCCACAGTTAGCAAAGCCTTTCGCTTCTCTCTGAAATTAATTATATGTCTAATTACTTATGCATCTAGATGTTTTTAGTTATATAAATGAGTAAAGAGTATTTCCAATTAGTTCTAATAAAACTCAACCAACTTTTCTACTTTCAAATTTTCCTTCAAATTCTTCTCATCATAATAACAAATTACGATAACTATCATTGTTATGAATTGATGCTTCAGAACATTTCTAACGATGATTGATACAGTTAATGCACGCTTTTCCCTTCTCTCATTAAAAGTAGTCTGTTTACTTTGATTTTATGTAAGGATAGGTAACTGATGTTACCTATCCTTACATAAAATAAAGTTCCAACTAAAAAATAAAAGTTAAAAATAAAAAATTAAAAGAACCGTAAAAGCGCAATGCTGTGCCATAAATTATCATTTACAATTGTATTTGATCCAATTATTTTAACTTTTGAATTACTGCCCAAATTTATCGCAAAACTAAGTCGTCCAGCGAGAAGAAATATTGCCAAATAGTGAGAACGAATCGTATGTCTCTTGCTTTCCCACCAAATTAAACCCTCTGATTTATTAGTTTTTATCATAAACCGATAATCTGCCATTATCTTCGACTGTTTTCTGAAAAAGAGGAAAAAAAAACTTTAATATAAGTAATTAATGTAAGCTTTAAAAGTTATGAAAGAAATGGAATGCATTCTAAAACACGAAGTAGAATCTTTTGCTAATCAAAGAAATTGTCGAGAATTAGAAAATAAACTCGTCAATCAGTTTTTCAACATTAAATCTCATTAATTTGCGGATATCTCATTAACATCTGAAGAATACATATTTATAGTCAATTAATTATGCATTATACTTTGCAGCGAATGCTGCCTTTAGATATATATATATGGCAATCGATCATAGAACCATATTTTGAAATCCGTTTTGCAAGTGGAAAAAGAGGAGTTGTAATAATTTTATAAAGTTAGCGCTATTTTTTGTTATTTTTAAAAGTAGTAAACTATAAAGTACAATTTTACAAGTAAACAAAAAATGATAAAATATACTTTGAAAACAGTTTTTTCACTAAAGCATATTCGTTTCGTCCATCAAGCAAAAGACTATCGCTCAGATCTGTGTCTGCTTCTTCATCTGGAAACAATAATAACTTTCAGAAAATAGAAAAAAGTTAATATATGAAAAAAAACTAAAAAATAGAATACTGAATATAAGAAGAGAAGAATTGACCATCAAATCTGCTGATAAGTAATCATTTATTACAATGAGCTATTTTAAGCTCTAATGGATAACGCTCTTCGTAAATTTGATAGGTAGCGGGTGCAAGAAGTATTTTTGTCGTTGCTTTTTTTGAAAACTAAAAACTTCGGATCTTTAATAACTTTCGTGACAACTCCTTCCTCTTTTTGCCTCTCCGATCACCGACAGAGTTCAAAGGGATACAGAGTTTCGAAAGTTGCAATCTAGCCCACTAATGAACCGAATGATAAATTTGATAAAAATCAGAACTAAGAAGAACGAACAGTCATGAACAAAATTAAATATTAAAAAACGTTTCCATTCCTTTTCTTATTTTGCTGTTCGAATTTCGGAATTTAAAGTGAAATAAAGACAACCGTATTAATTTCTTCCGCTTCAAATTAACTTATGCTTTGAATGTTCAAACAATACTAAAAAAATGAATGATAAATTATTTATAAAGAATTTAAACTCAAATTAATGTTTTGATTTCTTCAGCTCTCAAAGTTAGCAGTGACAAAGTTATTGGGTGTATTGTACAGGAAAAAAAAATTTATATGGAAAAAGAGAAAAGATTACACTTTCCAATTCAACAAATGAATAGAATTTCAAAACGACTTGTCAGAAATTTCTAAAAATTGTTAAAGAAGAGGAAGAATCTATGACGAAAAGGATATAACTCCCAATTTACAATGCTCAGTGGAAAACTTTTTTCGTTTTCACTAGAAAACTAAACATTGAAGATCTCCTTCCTCTTTAGGTCATAATCAATAAAGTTCTCAGGAAGCAAAAATATGACAAAAACCTTGCTGGATATATTCCGGTATTTGATATTCATCTAATTTCCATCTACAACTTCTGTTTTCACTTTTAACATTAGAACATGGAACATCGTTGTATTGCATAACACGACCAATTTGTTGAAATTCCTAAAAAATGTCATGAAATGAATTTCCACCATAATGAATGCAATTATATTTGTAGTTAACAACAAACACCTAAAATGAACAAAGATTTTAAAATGTTTCAAATATATTTGGGAGTGAAAGCGGAAGTATCACAGATCATTGCAAAATCCTTCAGTATTTTATTTGTTATTCTCATATCGGATGTGTATTTACATAGAATGCTTCTCCAACGGAATGTCACATAGATTGGAAGAACAAATAGTATCATAAGAAGACAAAAGGGAAATGGATATAATAGCTACTTAAATAATAATGATTGTTCTAAGCATATGAAATCGTAGAAAAAATTTAACTTCATTTTTTATGTGATCAAATAAATTACTTTCACATTTATTTCACTGACACCCAACAACTTTTGAAAGTCATCTTCCATTGGGAATAATGCATCGAGAGTGGTGCAAAAATTGAGAAATTTGCTTGCATATGAATGAATCATGTGGGATTTGATTTCCTAACATTCCAAATTTCATTAAACGAGTAAGGGGGATATATGGGATTTATACGCTGAATGATTTTTCTCTCTAGCAAGCATATGGCGAATGATGCACTAAAATCAGTAAGATAAATCGTAGTGATTCTGGAATCAGAAATAACAGACCGGAAATGATAACAATTAAATTAATATCAGATTTATGATACAGCTATGACACCATCATTATAGTGGACTGCTATTGATGTAATACTTGGAGAGATTATGCATATTATTTATATTAAATAAATATATTTTTTTGGATCAATATGTAAAAAAATTATCATCTAACGCTGTAAAATTTATTTTCCCCTTTACAATTATTTCAACCTGAAATTAAGCGATTTGAGAAAAAATATTTAAATTGGAAAGACCAGCGTTATAGAGCAAAGTATATTTAGTCTTTTTCAAGATTTCAAAACAATTGGCTTTAATTAATAAAGATCATTCACAATTTTCAAGTTTTTTTTCTTAGCCTAAAAGAACGTTTGAAGAACTGATTTATATTTAAAGACTGAAAATTTCGTCTGTTGATCAAAATAATTTCATATAAATCTATTAATCAAAATAATTTCATATAAATCTATTAAAATAATTAAAGTAAATTTGTATTTGCAGGAATCTGTGTTATAAAGATTGCTCAATAATTGTTTTAATCATCTTAAAATTTAAGTTAATTTTCTGTTCATTTAACTCGCTTTATTATAATAATGTGCTTTGTCTATAATTGTAAAATGTTAAACTGGCTTTTTGTATATTTGACTGTTATTGTTTCCAAAAAGCTATAATAATGGGACAATAACCTTTGTCCCAGCCATATTCGTCTGTGACAATTCACCTCCAAAAACAACACAATAATTTTCACGATATCTTCGGGCGGTAGGATGCAATCCTTGTATCATTTAGAGTAATTCAATACTTAAGTAAAACAAACAGCTCATCAAAATGAACATTACCTTTCCAAATATTACCATATCTTTTTGTAATTCCTACAGATAAACAATTCTTATATTGCACCTGAACTTATGCAAAATGACTACCGTTAATTCAAATCTTTCACTGTCATCTTCCGTAGCGGCTTATAATCATGATGAATTAGTAAACTTGAATAATACTCAAATGATAGTTCTTTCATTGATTGCATTTTTTGCTCATTTAATAAAAATTTTACAGCACCAGTAAAACCTCAAATTTCCGTAAAATGACAGTTAAATTTCAATTTTTTTTAGGTTTTCAGATATTTGGTGATATTTGAGCATTAGTTGTTGCATGAGCTCATAAAAACTCTAAAAATTTTTTCTGCTAAATTTCGACTTTTTAAAATCAGAAATTATTGTTGTATTTTGCAAAAGAAATACAAGTTCTCATCAGTATTCATTCCACAAACCTTAATAAGAAATTATGAGGAGAGAGAGAGAGGGAGAGAGAGAGAGAAAGCGATGTCACTGTGTCAGCTTGAAAAAAGACAACGGGACTTAGTCTAAGTTGAAAATGACACATGCATGCTTCATGTTGCGATATTTTTCCAAACATACTTTGAAAAGATCAGAAAATACATGTCCATTAATGACCAGCTGTTTTACTGCACCTCGAAATGGTACCGCAAGTTGTGGTACCGCACTTGGTATGATGGTTTTGTTTGGAACACCGCCAATGAAAGCCACTGCACCGTTTGCGTCCAAACGTGAATAGCCACGCTATCAATGATTAGTAAAAAATTTTCAGCAATAATACCTAATTTACATAAGAAGCTAGTAGGTTAAATTAGAGTTTAACGATCTTCGAGGTTAAATTTGTAACCGTTTGAGAATGCATATAGAAATCCAGGAGAGAAAAGGATCTATTTCGAATCTCCGCGGTAGGTAATAATGAAATTAATTAAAAATTCTGCAAAAATTCCATCCTATTCTCAAAATTTAACTTCTAACTTTTCTAAAAAAGTTATTACACACTCTCATAATCCCAATTCTCTGATTCAAAATTCATTATTTAAAAAGAAAAAAAAATATACACACAAACACACAAGCACCAATAACCAACCTGAGAAATGTGGGTTTCAGTGTGTTTGTTATCAACTTGAAGTGAACTACTGAGTAAGTATTTTTGAAAACGGATCGAATGGAACTGATCGTTCAAAACTGATGTATTGGATCTGAATTGATCGGAAATATTAAAATTGTCGAAAAAAGTTTAAAGGAGATAAGCATGAAACTCAATTTACAAGTAAATTAATGAGACAAAACTCGTCAAGTAAACATGCATTACTATTGAAATCAGGTATTTGTCGTAGTGACCGGAATATACGCCCTACTGTCCGGTATGTATCTCAATGTCCTGGCATATCAAAACAATGATTCATTAATCTCTTATTTACACAGCAAAATCCCTGAATACTCTGCTTTTTCATCTTTCTTCTCTATTACCAATTCGTTTTCAGTTTTCTATCAGATTATACTTTCACTAATGTCAATAGTAATGATAGTTCGATAAGTAATCTCACTAAGAATTGTTGGAATGATATTAATTAGATAAAATGAAGTCCCTCAATTTGAGAATGAAATGAATCCTTCCGAGAATAAGCTAATAATTGGAATAAATGAAGTTCGATGGTATTCATTGTTCAAAAGCAAAGATTAAAGAGTGAGGAATGAGAAGAACGGAACTCGCTAGAGATTTCTTTTAATTCTTCAATTAAATGAAATTTGACGATTTTGATAAAAACATTAAAAATTCTGGCAACAATTTTCTTCCATTCTTCCTTGAAGTTTAAAATCCAACTTGACCGGTAATTTTCTAGCGGGTTGCAAATGAAGAAACTATAGCAGTGAGTACAAGAAATGAAATTATAATTTTATAATGACACAAAAAATGAAATATTGGTGAATTATTTGAAAATAAAATACCTGCTATAAACAATCCCAGAGCCAAGATTCCAGAAGAAGTATGGTTGTGAAGTGATTAACACTAATGCTACAAAATTACCGTCTATATACTGTCCTGTTTTACTGTCTAAATTTGTCCAATAGAATGCTAGGCCATCTGAATCCAATGCTTTTAGCCATATTTCTAAGTCCAACTCTTCTTTCACATCCATTCTTAAGTTTCTCTTCATTAAAACACCATCAGTAACGAACAGTGGGATTGCATGATTTGATTTCAAGTCTGCAACAAAATTTAAATTCTTTTAAAGCTTTCATTAATCATAAAAAAATTAAGGTGCAAATGATTTTTTTAAACCTAATCTTATTTGTTCGTGTTAATTTTATTTTTGTAACAATGCATTACTGCTTCTTTTAATTGGTAAAGTATATAACAATAAGGCTATTAATGTGTTGCTTTACCTCTAGTTTTACCTCTAGTTCTGAATGATTTAATAATTAAACAAACTTAATTGTTCTTCACTGACGATCTTGATACTGGATGGATTGTCATCACAGATTTCACTATTTTCACATATTTGCTGCTCACAGAGTTGACCTGCAATTGTTGGAATTACGATTTTAATTCATGAATTTATAAATATAAGAATAGGATAAACTCGATTTAATGGTAGAGAAAGGTCAAAAAGAAAATGAGAATACACGATTCGACAAGTATTTTCAACTCATTTACTTCGATAAGATCTCGTCCTCACACCGTCCAGCTTAAAAATTTATCCGCACTACTAATAACGGTCGGTGACGAACAATCGAACGAACAGTGCAATGCATTTCATTTTATAAAATGGATGCAAAGCAAAATAAGAAGTTAGAAAGAGCTTTTCGCATAGCTACTTTTATTTTTGTAACAATGCAGTACAGTTTTTAAAACTGGTGGTTACAGGGGACAAAAAGTTATACAATAATTTAATTGAAAAATGAGCGAAAATTCGATAACTTTAAAACTAATCAAAAAAAACTATCAATGAACAGAACCATTAAAATGCTGAATGCAATGGCATGTCGGTTTAGCATCGATCTCATTCAGTTGACATGAACTGCCATTAAAACAACTCTTCACGCATATATTTTGTGAACAGTAAGCTGAAAGAAAGTTTTTAAGTGGAAAAAACAAATTTACTCTTAAAATCGATGATGGAATGACAACAAGTAATAAAATTAATAGTTAATTCTTCCTGACTGCTAAATAGCTAACATTTAAACATATTAGCATACAAAGGAGATCACTAAAACAAAAATTTTATTTTGTTATTGCATTATTATGTTGAATGAAATTTTAGTTTGATAAAATAAATATATTCACATTCCCTTAATCAGGAATTACAATTTCAAGAGATCTCGGAAATTATAAATTCTGCGCAAACACAAGCATTTGACGTTTCAAGATTGTCTGTCATGACAATGTTGCCTTGCAGGTGGTCTCATTGTAAGTGCAGCGACAAAGATAATTAAAAATTATCATATTGAAGGGAGTTTAGATGAATAAATATCCCAGATGCTAATCATCACAACATTATAAATTATCTCAACTTCATTATCTCTTATATCACAATTCAGCTTTTTTAAAGTTTATGAAATATCACTTCTAATTACCATATACAAAGTTATCACACCTTGAATATATCCTTCATTTATCCAATCTAAACGATAATTTTATGATATCTAAAATTCAATGAAAGAGAAAGAAATATTGCTGATATGAAAAAAATCACGACGAAATGAATGCCATTCATTTACAATTATCTTTTTAACTAAATCAAATACAGTAATCTTACCAATATTGCCCAAAAATTTCATGCTTTCTTTGGATATTTTGCGCCCATTAATAAAAATATTTGACAGACAGCCCGTAAAATTGCTTAACGCTGTTTGCATTGAATGTAAACTGTAAGATAAATTCAGTTGTTCAGATAAAATTTTCTGTCAATTTCCAAATCAAAATGTATGATGTGAAAAACTGATCAAAAAGTTGAAAAGTGAGCAAAAAATTAACCAAAACAAATTTAAATACTTTATGTTTTTCGATAAGAGTTAGCTGGGTAACAAATTCTGTTAATCTTTTATAAATTTCAAAAAATATATAGAATACTTACAAAATTAATTATTTTTTGATTTCAAAACATTGTTTTCCATTGTAAATCATCGCATTACGTTCTTCGTTTTATAATATGTCGTTACATTTTTCATTAACAAAATCAATACGAATTTGATTTTTAATGAATTAATCTAAATTAAACATATGAAAGAAACATACCGAAGGAGCTCCACCGGTATGTATCCTAGATATATCGATGTGTCAAGTTTAGGTGGATAACTGATGACTGCGGATGGCAGTCTGAAAACTACTGGAGGCAAATCATCAACAGTTAAAGAAATTTGATCATATAAAAAATTAATTGCAATTCCGTATGAGCGAGTCATATCCAATAGTGGTTCCCATTCCATAACAAATACTTCAACATTCATTGAGAAACTGAAATGCATTCAGAAATATCAATATATTAATGCCTTATGGAGTGAACACATAAATAAACAATAAAAAATTATAATGAAAACAAAGACCGCGGAACTTTCAATATATCATCCAATCGTGGATGATGGCCGAAGTTTAAGGTCACTGTTGACAAGATTTGGAGTGAGGGAATGAAATAAAAAGGAACTGAACAGCGTTGCTAATATGCATTTATTCTTATGCCTAAACATTTACGCATTGCAACAATATGTCAAACATATTAATAATTCGAATAGATAATCTACAAGCAGAAATGTTTTGAATACCAAATGAATCAGTATGTTTTTGATGGATATTGCAATATACCACTAAAGTGATAGTCAAGAATGCGTGCATATCAATTAAAAATTAGTTAAACTTAAAAATATACCTAAATATAAGTTTAGATTCCGATAATAACAGAAGGATGAAATCATTCATTTCATTTAAGCCACTGCACAGTAATACTCCCGAGGTATTATGTGCTCGAACCTGTTGATAAAGTTAAATTATTGAGTTAACACACAGATTCAGAAAAAGTAAGATGTTAAATCTCCTGAAATGCAATACTTAAATAATAGACCGATCAGTAAAATATTTCCTAGTGGTATCTGAGAAGGGCCTTTGCAATATTATGCATTTTCTTACAAACAACGTTTAATTGTACCCATTCAGCAATAATCTGCAAATAGTAAGTTATCATAAAAAAATACCACACCTTCATTTGAATGGAAAAGAGGCGATTCAATGACTTTTCGATGACAATTTGCATTCCGGAGAATCCATCCAATTTCCATGAACTGTCCTGATTATCATCTTTTTCTATAATGCAAATGTAACTTAAGCATTATAAGAAGCTTATTCAGATGATGTAATTTCTCTAGAAATTAAAATTCTTATAACTTCAAATTCATTCCTCAGAAAAATTATGACTCTGAGAATATTTTAAACAGCAGTAATGTTTTATCAATAAATCAATTCATATGAAGAAACGAGATAAAGATTAATATTTTAACCTTGTATACATTGCGTCATATCCTTCGATGGAAAGAATCCTTCTTTACATTTGCATGACTTCAACTTCAAAAAATTCATTTCATCACAGTACGTATTAAAAATACGACAATCAGTATCATCTGCGCATAAATTTCCTAAAAGTGCTTGTCCACCTAATTTACGTTCTCGACGTCGTTGCGTCTCACCGTTATTGCTACTAACTTCTGAAATGTATTTTTATATATTTTTAAAATTTAGACAAAAATGAATACTAAAAATTACAAGATTCCATGCTTTCTGAATGTGGTATGTTGAAAAAATCTAAATTAATAATCAATAATTTTCATTTCTTGTATGATTTCTGATAGTTTTATTGGTAGTATTACAGTATTCGTTTATCATAGCTCTAAAAGCGTTATCAACTCTTAGGTCCAGTTGATAGTTTACATGAAATGCCGTAGATAACAGTAACATTATTTTTATCACCAGTTTTATTAACAGTTATTTTAAATTTCGGATTAATTATGTCCATTGAATAGTTTTTAGACAGCAAAAATTTGCATCACTATATAATAGCCATGCTAAAGAATACCTTGTGGACAGGTGCCAAGTGACGAAGGAACTAAATCCAATTGATACATGCATGCAAACTGCTGCAGTTCACAGATATTATCGTAAGTGTTGCCATCAGATCCACAGACGGTCATTTCAGTCACAGTCCCGAGATGCTCCAATGCGCATTCTTTCGAGCACTTACAAATCGGCATTCCTGACAGTGCAATCACGCACACCCCTCCATGATAACATCGTAATTCGCTGCAGTCCCTTAAAATGACATGCAATTGTAATTTGTTTAGTTTACCGTTCTTTTGCTAAAATTCTGTTTTTTTCAAAATTGGTAAGATTAATTGTTAATTAGAATAGGATAATTTTGATTACAGACCGTACAATCATCAACTCAGTACGTTTAAATACCATTTCTATTAACTAAATCTTTATATATTTTGTTAAAATTACAGCAATACTCAGCAAGAAAGAACAAAAAGTGCCCCATCATTCATCTTCTTATCCGATCATTCTGTTAGATCTTATTCATGCAAAAATTCAAAACATCAGAAATATACTTCACAGAGATTAACATGGCATAAGGTATTATTTTTTTAATTTTTAAATACTTAAATTTTATAATTCTCAAAAAAAAAAAAACAATTGTACGGCTAAAAGCTATCTTACTTGGGAGCGTACAATTCTGCCTTTTTCATACAACCGTTTGAAGTTAGAATGAAATCTGGACCACAGGAATCACATTTCAAACCGTATGAATCCGGTTTGCACTGACAACGACCTGATGACTGCTCGCAATCAAAGCGTGAAGAGCCAAATGCTGAACAGCCACATGCTGCAAGATGAAATAAGAAAAAAATATTCTGTATTCTAATCTTAACAACAACTTCCTTAGCTTTTAATGACCCGGAAAGTGACTTACGTTGACATCCTAATGCACCTTTAGCTATCAACTGTAATCCCCAGAAACCTGACACACAGTGATCGCATTTCTTGCCACCCACACCAGGAAGGCATCGACATTGTCCATGCCGATCACATGCGTTACTATACGATCCGATACGGTTGCAGCTGCATTCATCTGCAAAATTATGCAATCTTCTATAATAGTTAAAAAAAATTTTCTCATATAGGAAATAGAAATAATAACAGCATCAAAAATTTTTACACATTAATTTTTGGTATTGTTTCACCTCTCTCTCTCTCTCTCTCTCTTTCTCTCTCTCTATACTAGTACGATACTCTCCTAGTCGTACTCCTTAGATTTTTAATAAAAAAATAAAATTCAGTTAATAAATGGAGTTAAGAAATTCTAATTAATCCTGAATTAATGGTTGAAGAGATTGAAAAAAATCACTTCAAGAGATTTTTCAGTTTAATATCCGCCATGCTGTTTTTTTTTTCCTTTTGCAATTCCTATCATTAAATTACGCTCTTTAAGATAAAATACAGAAAAGGAATGCAAAGATGAAATTTTACAATGATGAGATCTTAATTTATTGTAGCTTATCATGAAAAGAGTTGGAGAAGATTATTGCAACATTTTGGAGATATACAATGTTTGGAAGTAAATCTCTAAAATAATACTGAAACTTTAAGCATTATTTTTGTAATGAAATTAACCGATTAATCTTTTTTAAACATTACACATCCAGTTGACTCCTTCAGTAATTTCTTTACTACAAAAATAACAGCAACATTATTACGACTACCATGATAATGACAAAGATGTATTGGTGTCATCTGATAAATGGATTTTTGCTGTTTACAGGATGCCAAATCCATGAAGCATGTTGAATTGTAGACATTTCCATCACTAGCACAAATGGCTTCCATATCGGCATCTTTTGTGGAACAATTGAAATCACAGAGACATATATCGGATAGATGATTCTCGGTAAGTACTACACAAATGCCACCGAAGGAACAGCTCTGCTGATCGCAACTACTCATCGCCGATAATTCATCTAAACAACCGCATTGTGGGAAGAAGGTTGTATTATGGAATTGTTTTTTTAAACAAGGCAGCCGGAGAAGAGGACGGCTGGAAAAAGGGCAAACAATTCGAAATCTACCACAATTCACTTTTTATTTAAATCCATCAATTACGATATCTAAACATTATCTAATGTGATCATAAATTATTACAGTCTAAATTTAATTAATTATTTTGTTTATTTTCATTCAAAAATTTCCGCTTTTTCTCTTATTAGAGATGTTTTAGTTGAAGCATTAAATAGGCTAAAATGAAACATTTCAATCTGGACAAATGACCATCCACTCATATATCGTCACTTCTTTTCATGTCAAAGCACAACAAACATTAGCCTTATTTTGGATATTTAATATGCAAAAATTGTCGAAGTTGGCAGACTTACATAAACTTATGGTACCAATAAATTGTAATTGTTCTGTTCGTTTGTTGAAAATAAATCCCTCAATTTTTTTCCAGCTTTTTTGCTGTTGCTGCTTTTGGCCTTCGTTAATGGCCTCTTTTCAAATGGGCATAAATGCTTTTCATAGCTGTCACATAGCTATCATTGCCGCATGACTTGTTATGATGACTCATTGTCATTCTTGTCATCATATTTAGTATAGCTATTTCTGATGAAGCATTAAAGATCGGGTGGCAGTATTTCTGAATTTCTGTTTTACGCGACGGACATATTTCTGTCTACTTTAAGTTATTTTACCATGAAGATTAGCAGTTACATTTACATGCAAAATAGTTAGTTTGAAAAGAAAAAAGGGAAGAAGATGAAGAGATAGATGGAAGAATAGTTCGCAAATCACAAGTAATGAAAACAGTGAAGATGCTATTACCAAAGATATTATCAGCATATCACATATATTATCAATTAGTTTGCTAAGCTTCACACAAACAATTAATTAGTCAGCTGGTAACTGAATGTAATTTAAATCAATCAGCGTATTATGATGTAAGCTTCCTCAGAAAATATTGCAGAATTTTTTTTCTTTCCTAAACATCCACCATTAACTATTTCAAGTCTGTAGATCCACAATTTAAAAATTGCTAATAACGACGGATTCTCAAAGGTTTTACAACGGAAATTTTATTTAAATTAATGCAAGAATGTTGTTGTTACTTGAAGATTTACATAAACAAACAAAAATGTATTACGAAAAGAAAAATGACGAACCAATTTTACGAAGTGACTGTTTGCAGCTGCTAAGATGCTGGACGGAAATTGCAAAACCTTTCTGACAGGCTGCCATCCTCAAATGACATTTCGATGGATAAAATATTCCATCACTACCACATACCTTCAAGATTTTTCGAATAAAATTCAAACTTTAAAATTTTGACTATTTTAATGCATTCACAGCATTAATATATATTATCTCACTTTCCTTAGAAAAAAAGAGAAAAAGAATCAATTACTAAAGTATTCGTGAACATCACTTTCATTTTAAAAATTAAACAAACTTTTATTTCATTTTTTCTCCCCTCTGAGCTATCTACTTAGCAAGAGGCTTTTATGATTTCACTATATCAGTTTTGAATGATGAAAAGTTAAACTCTATATTGAATACAAAACCAGCATGTTTCGATCGTACCGTACTATTTTCGGTAACATCCGGACAGTTACTTGGACAGGAACAAATGCCGTCCTCACATTGTTGTTCATCAAGACAAATAGTGCTCGAGCAACTATCACAGGAACCTCGGAAAGCAATAACTATGAATTTCTGTTGCTGACATGCAGCTTGGCGCATATGACATTCTGAACGATATGTGTTACCATCTGTTGCACATATCGTCCCTGAAAAGCTCCGTCAAAAAGATACAAACGGACAAAAACGCCACTTTCACAAAAGACGAATAGCAAATAGTATAATTTAAGATTATTGAAATTGATAGGATAAGGCACCAAACCAATGGAATCGGATTATGCCTATAACTTTTCCCTACAATTCCATCTTTTTCTTCTTCTACAAAATACAAATGCTAAATATATTGTATAACAAAAGGAAACCGGAATTGTCATAAGTGCATTGATTTGGACATTGACAAGAACCACTGCCAGTTTCATCCGACACACAAGTAGCATAAAATTCGCAACGAACATTTGCACAGCCATCTGTTTGTAATTTAATTTTAAGATTATTTTCTATTAGAAATTTAGACTTTAGTAATTGAAACTTTTTTAGAATGATCTTTCTTTGAAACTAAATTTCAAAAATTTCCTTTATTTGACTTTGTTGTTCACAAATCCATTTTAGTTCAAAATAAGTGTTGTATCTTAAACAAACACTCATTTTTTAAGAAACAATGAGAGAATATCTAATTTCATATCAGTTAATTTTTGGAATGCTCTATTAAATATGTAGATTATTCTTTAAGAGAAATTTATTACTTATGCATATCTATGGCTCAATAAACATACTGCAGAAGGAAGTTTAAGTATTTCTTGCAATTGACTACTGAATTATGCATGCAAATAACCGGAACGATGGTGGTCGCTGTTAGCTTAGAGAAATAAATATCTCGAAGCAAGCCAAAACTGACCACACACTCCACTATACTTTTGATAAATAAATTTGCCAGTCAAACAGGACTCGAGACGCATTTTGCATTCATTTGCATAAGTGATGCCGTCGGATGCACAAACTTCGTTAAGTTGCAAATCGCAAGATTCACATTCGCATACTGGATGTCCATTTCGGTCAATACATACTTCAGATGGTCCACAACCATCATAACCAGTGCACACACCAAAGCCTTCATTTCTTATTGTCTTTCATATTAATTTCAGCAAATCTTTCTCATCTTAAGTCAAATTTTCTTTCTCTACAATCTCACATTTATTCTAATTCTTCTCAAAAAATATCCTACATATAAAATTCCAATTGAATCAATTGATAAAATTATATTCAAATCATTTATTTTATGCTTGCTCAAAATTCTATGAAATGAAATAACACTGAAATTTACTCCTTATATTTCTAATGCCTGTAAAATTATTCATACTTTTATAAAGCTAAACATACTTATGAATTACTATCAAAAATAACAAAAAATAAAAATTACCGCAAGGACCTGTATGCCGTACGGCATTGTGTATTTTTGATAAACATGCGGAACGTCGCATCACACATTCGTTTTCATACGTTTTCCCATTCTGGAATATTAACAAAATATTTTAAAATGATGATAAAATGTGTCCAACAACGGCACACATTATAATGAATGTCCGATCTGCTGCTTTTGGAATTTTTTTTTTTAGAATTGTCTTGAAGTTTTTTTTTAAGATTTTGCTGAAAAAATCAAGTAAATATGATCATAAGTTAATCACTGAGACAAATAATTTTTGTCTTATAAATATTTGCTGTGATTTCGCTTCTTATGAACAGTAAACTGTGAGAGTAACTTAATGATATTTCCATGCAAAACACTTAATTTATTTGAAAATTAACGCATAAAAAGCAAAAAATAAAGCTAACAATGGAGCAGACAGGTTTCGTAACAGGTGGACAATACTGAATGCATTCGCATGTGGCTGTGCCATTTTCCTGAATGTGACACGTCTCCAAATCCGAGCAATGAATCAATTTACATGGATTATCTTCTGTAAAACTAATAAACCTATTAATAACCTAAGCGAGATAATCTATTTTCTTATTACCTGACAGAAGATTGTTTAAATTGATGACAGGAGGGATCAGAATTAAAATTCTGGCAATAATAGCCACCATCTTGCCTGTGTCATCAAATCCTTACTAAACCCGCAAAAAGCTAAAAAAATCGAAGAATTTAATTTCACAAGGAAAATATTAATTTTGCTATAATTCAAATTAATATTTTTTAATTACAGGATTATAATCTCTATGAATTGTAAACGTACTGGAATGTCACAGAGAACTTATATTCAACAATCACCATTGAGAAGTACAATGTGCTCCTGTACTATCCAACCAATTTTTAAGATGAAAATTTGAATAAGTAACACTGAGAACATTAAAATCTAAAGATATTCTTGAAGATAACGACAGAAAAGCAAACCTTTACAGCGTCCTTTATGATAAATCAGAATTTCCTTATCATGACGACATGCTGACACCGACATCAAACATTCATTTTCATATCTCAAATTTTCTATACGATGATAATTTCCAGAATTTCAGAATATATAGAGAAAAAAAACTTTTCTTCTGGTATTAATTTCATATCCGATACAAATATCAATTTTCTCTCAATTCATCCGCCTAAATCATTTTTTGCAAAGGGTAGAAAATACGGCTGACTTACGTATTTCCATCAGTAGCACAAACAGGATCAGAATGCATTGCACATTGCTGTGAACAACGACATTCAACACGTCGATCCGCTGTTACCTTGCATATTGTACCTGCGGAACAGATGAAATCCTTGCAAGGGTCTGGAATTTTCATTTCAAAAAAAAAACCGAAAACTTGAAATTGATAGAAAAGTTAAAAATTTTACAATATAAGGTTTGAAATAAATTGTGAATTAAGATCATCTTTGAGGTTCTACTAAACAGTATATCATATCTATTTTAATCATTCACCAGTATCTCGTTTGCTAGATTTGAAAATACATTTTTATTTAACTATTGAAAGTGAAAACTTTTAAAATTTAAACATCAATTTAATGAAATTATAAATAACATTTAAAAGCTTTTTCATTTGATTTTTCACCATCTGGATAAATTAAGAGAAATTTTGGTATATAAAAATTAAATTTTAAAAAAATTAATGAAAATATATACTTACCGCATTTACCATAATATTTTACACTTTCATTATGTTTCGTTTTACATGCATGCGCTCGAAGATGACATAAAGATGGATAATCAATTCCATCATTAGAACAGACAGGTGACGATTCAACACTGTCACCAAAATCGTCACACTGTTCCGGACAAACACAATGCGCTGAGATATAACCTTTTCCATTCTCCGATATCACACATTGCTCACCGGGCCCGCATCGTAAATCTTCGCACGGATTACGCTTTTCTGCAAAGATGAACTCGAAGTTGTGACAATGAAGACGAAAAATGAATACTGCAAAAGTTGAAATTAGCATTTAAAAACTAATAATAAAAAAGAGCTAAAGTAATAAAATAATAAAGAAAAGCCAAAGTACCACGAAAACAATTTTAGATTAGATAAAATGGCAGGAAGTGCTTACCATTTGACCACTTGTAACAAGTCAGAATTAATTTTAGATTTAACGAAATAAAAAGAATGACGAATAAGCAGTATGCCGACATATTAATGATATTAGTACTATTTTTAATGAAATTTATTTGAATCAGTAATCTCTTGGAAAAATAAATTAAAATTAGTATTTAAAGCAATGAATACTCAATGCAAATAATCAAATTTGAAGATTGATTAATTAAGTTTTAAAAAATGAAATTAAAGAGATGACTAAAAAATGAGAGAAGAAAATGAATTTCAAATTTCATTAAACTTCAAAAATTTCATTGGAGTGAAATATTAATAAGGATATTTGGGCTTCTTTGTTAGAAAAATAAATATTGGACAATGATGTTCCGTTGATAGAAACAGTCGGATTTTATTTCAATTCATTCATTTCTCGACATAAAGCCTTCGAGTAGAACATATTGAACTCAAAAGGAGAAGAAGCTGTTGTTATCAGTGAATAGGCTTCTTTTGTTTTTTTGTGGCCAAGAGTGTCTTATTGACTATTATTCCCCACTCAATCGAAGATTGAGTATTTCAATTTTATTTTTCATTTCCAGCCTTGGAATTAGTCAATGCTTCCTTATATGTTTTTTCAGCCTTGGAATTATTCAATGCTTCCTTTCAATCATACTTTAAAGGCATTTATTTAGTTTTTTCTGTCTTTTTTCTTTAAATTGAAGCAGTATAACTAAATTTTACACAAAGTTTATTTTTCCTTCCTCAGCAGTGAATTTAATAGTCATTAAAAGAATCTTTCATTATTTTTATTTTAAATAAAATAGCTTTGCATTCCCTTTACTATTCAATTTAAAATAAAATTAGCTCATTTAAAAATTTTAAAAGTTTTCTTTTGATCAAATAAAATTTCTTTTTTTGAAAAAAAATGGGCAATATTAAAAAGAAAGTAGTTGAAACTCTCCGTTTATAGTCCAAATAAAAATTGTGTAAAATTTAAAGGAAAGAAAATTGTTTAAAAATTAAGTACAGCAAAAAAAAGTTCAATTATTACACACACTTTGTAGTGTTCTTTTTCTCCATGAAACTGTTCAAAAATAATTAAAGAAAAATGAAAAGAACTACCGTCAAGAGAAATGATAAGAATGAAGATGACATGGAGGTCATCAGATAGGCTGCAATATAAAATCAGTAAAATGAATGAATCTGAATGGAATGAACTCATTTTATCTTTCCTGTGCAAGGAAGTTTTTCTCGAATGACTCCTACGCGTATATTATCAGACTATGGTCTTTGTATGAGTATGCAAAACCAGAAATTAATTGAATTTTAAATGGAATAATTGGGAAAGTGACATTGTCATATAAACTTTTACACTTATTGGAAATGTAAATGAAAATCAATTTGTCGTTTAAAATTCGTTTAGTTTTATTTCCCTATGGAATCGAAAAATACGATAAAATAAAAGCCTATACCACATGCACCAATTTGTTTAACTCTAATTTCCGATTTTTCTTCCGCACGCGCAAGACAGGAACGCACGGCGAGGTGACATTCACTGAGGTAACTCACATTATCCGTACCACATACCGCTGGACCGGCTCTATTACAAAAAGAACGACATTCGCATTTACCACTGCAATTTTATTGACATTTGATAAATTAGTCATTTAGATAAAGTTGATATTTGAATGAATTATTCGATTAAAATCAGATCAAGATATTATCATCGACATTTTTACCTATCGTAGTTTCGTATCACTGACCGTTAATTATGATATGGAGTGTTATGTTATTTGCATATCCTAATAACAGTCATATTTTACATGCATATCGCAGTAATAGTCGTCCTATTTTTGAAAGACGCAAAATTTTCTAAGCGAACTGACCTTTATGCATAAACATTAAATCGGAACAGTTTGCGCATGAAAAACTAAGAATTAATGCAATAATATTCTGCTTCAAAAAAATTTCAAATATTTGCTAAAATCTCTTTAGAAATAAAATAAAAAATCAAACGTATTTAAACGGCATTTGGCACCATACGGACATCGTACTTTTTCACATTTTGCTGAAAAATTCAAATATCAAATACATAAATTACTTGGAATAATATATTGGTCATTGTTTATTTCAATATCACATAGTCTTTAATTAAAAATGCTATTTAAATAGGGAAAAATCAACAAGGAAAAGGATTTTCAGTCGCGACTTCTCTGAATCTATTCATGCTTCCAAGTGTAAGCTTCCAGTTGAAATTTTTTCAATCGACATGTTTTGGGATTTAAACACCTAGAAATTTCTTACAACTGAAGCATTTAATAAAATTCTCACTTCTCTTTATATGCCGCTGCTTCTTGCGCACCCAACCTGAAAAAATCACAAATTCAAATAATGAAATAATGAATTAATAACTAGAACTGAAAATATCAACGAAATATTTTTGCTGCAATAGTCTCGTAAGAATACTGAACTGTGTATTTGTTTCTCTATTAAGAGAATTTTCTATTAATATTTCGCAGCTAAATCAACCTGAATAACAATCCTGAACAACAAGCAATAATAGCAAATTGAAACTAAAAAATATTCAAGAAGACAACTTCCATAACATTTGACCAATTTCTTGAGTCAATTTGCAAATTACTCTATTTAACAATTACATTAAACTACTTTATAAACTGTTCTAATCAACAATTAGAATACATTCACCTTTAGAGAGTTGAATGACTTAGAGCAGATATTAATTACGTTACAGTAGTGGTGAGAAACTGAGAAATGTTGATGATCAGTCGAAAAATTATGGCTTACTTTTATCGGTGTTTCTTCCGTAACTATCAGGAGATATAAATTTATCATTTGCTAAATCAAGCACAAAAAATATAAGTTGATGAAATTTTCAGCAATTAAAAACAGCCTGTGGAAGTTTAAAAAGATACTGAAATTCGAATTTTTTTGGCTTAAACATTAGCTTATTTTTTTTATGTCATTCAAATCTTAAATGAAAATGTAAACAATATAAAATTTTAGGTTAAAAAAATTCCGAACAGATTAAAAAAAATGAAGTACCTTTCCTTTCCTCTTCGATTAAATAAACTTTTTCATAATTCAAATTTCTGTTATAAATTTGGCAAATGTGTAAGCAAACAAAATATATTCCAGTAATATACTTCCGATAACTCCAAATGTTAGCTAATTAAGAGGAGCGGAAGAAATAAAAAGAAAGCATTTAAATACCAAAAAACTATTCATTCTTTTCTTTAACAAATAATGAACAGCTGTGATTTGACAAAAAATGACTTCCTTAAGAAGTTGCGATAATTGGGCGCTATTCCGCGGTATAAACGACAAATCTATGCAAATTGGCTATTTCCGGACGAAGACAGGTAGGTGAGGAGAATGATAAAAGGCCTATTGAGGTGAAATATTGTGCGATGTTTTGACAGATGTGCAAGAAAGTCAGAACACAAAAAAAAGAAAGATTTGATGAATGAATGATTTATATTTGCCAGCTTTTTGCTTAACAGTCCAGTTTTCCGTACTTAAAAACTGTCAAAATAGTCAAGCAAATGAATCAAGGAAAATATAAGAATTTGTTTTCAAATACCCTAACTAATTACTCATACACTTCAACTTAAATGGCAATCTTCAACAAAATTATTTGGCAAATTTAAGTCCGGTTTCACTTAATATTAACTGTTAATTTTCGGTTCAGCAAAATTGAATAGCCAGCGAATAATAGTAATATCTAACTAAAAATTTCACATATTTTCACAAAAATTTTTTCATCTTGTGAACTTAATCTACTAATTTTAACGCTAATATTAGTTTCAGTGACTCATTTGTCTTGCAGAATGTGAAAGAGAAAGAAAGAAATTGAAAAAAAAAGGATAACCTTGAAAGTGGGAATTGAGCTGATCGAGAATGTTTAGATTAATGGGAACCAGAGATGAATTAAGGTAAAACAAGCCATTAAGCTCATTTAAGAGGATTATCTTCGTTTCTCGTTCATGCAGAACACTCCCGCACATCTGCAATTAAACAAATATCTTTGAAGAAATAAACAAAAATATGCTGCAATATAAAATCGGATTAACAAATTCAGTCTTAAAACTTCGGAATTCTCAAACAGAATTAATCGTATGGTATCATTATATTATATATTTCCAATCAACAAGACATCTTTTCATCCTTTTGGCATATTTTACATTATTTTATTTATTTATTTTTCTTTTTTTATTAATTTAGACATATTCTTTATAAGAGCAATTTGATAAATACGAGAAATAATTGTGAAATGTTTGTTTCAACGTTAACTTTATATGAAACTTAAAGAATTTATTTTTACTATTCATAATTAGTAGCCTATTTGAAATTTATAGAAATTCTCGACTCAAATATTTAAGTAAAAATGCAAAAATGCATTTTTAATCGAGAAAATTCTCATTCCTTTATTTTCAAAATTACTATATTCGACCTTGCAGATCCGGGAATATGCGTACATTTTCCTGCTTGAGAGATAATTTTCAGGTAAAAAGAATTAAAAATTTATTTTTAGGACTTTTCAAAAAAGAAAAAAATGTTCGGCTGTCTACATTGGAGTGGAAAATTAGTGATACCAAATATAAAATAGTGTTCCGAAACAGTGATGATATAATAGAAATGTACTTAAGAAATGCTAATATCATTTTAATTATTGCAATTGCAAGAACTGAATCGAAAGGAATTAACACTTTAATGGAAATATTTAACAGCCATTTTTCTTAATCTTTTCAAAAATAAAATTTAACGCAAAAAACTTAAGAAGGAAATATTTACCTGTATGTTACCTAATCCATGAATGGCTATTTTCTTCCTACCATTGATAATATTGAAACCTTTGAAAATCCTTTTCACTCGAACTGTTGCAGTCTGTAAAGAGTGCAAAAAATAATTTCTTATATAGGTATAGGTCAAAGTGATGACATCATTAATCAATAAAATAATATAAACAGTTAAAGTAAATGATAGTCTTTTCCCATAGTAATAATAGAAAACGATTTGCATATAGGTGATATAACTGCTGAATGGAATTAATACAGCATAAATGAAGGCTTTGACCAAAGCTTTGACCAGAAGAGAGTACAGATGCTATTTTATGACCATAAACATTCTATACTGTGCAATCAATTAAAACAAAAGATTTCTCTCTCCCTCTTTCGTAGTCAAAATTATCAGATTACAGAAGTGAAGAAAGGTCAAATATCGATCATATTCTTGCTTTTCAGTTTTATGAAATGTTTTGAAGAAGCTGTAAATAAAAGCATTTATTTGTGATAAAAGTTTATCTGAAGCAGAAATATTGTCTAAACAAGACAATCATAAACGACAAATTGATTGATGAAATAGTGGTAGAAGATAAAAAGAAAAAAATTTTGCTAGCTGATAGAAATAAGTTATGGGAATCCATCTGTGCTGAAATCACTACCATTCAACCATAATCATTTCGTCCCTTTTTTTTATTTTCATTTTTTAAATAAATTAATTTAAGAAATACATGAAAATATATTCGAACAAATATATTTGTTATTTTAAATGCTTCTCTGATATAATCTCCCTTTTTTTACTTATCTGTCAATCTTTTTTTATGTGTTCCTTTTTTTGCAAATATATTATTTAAAAGAGAAAATATATTGCAAATATATTGTTTGAAAAAGAAAGTTGTAGTAATTGATCTCTTGACAAATGATCAAATTGATCAAATCATTTTGACCAATGATCAAAGAGATAATCAAATTAGATTAGGGAAGATGATTTATTCACTTTTACAGCCATAATGAGCTAAAAATTTTTCAGCCCTAGATATATTAATTACTGTAAACAGCGCATTTCTTTGTTAGCAAGAAATGATCTCAAACTTAGAAGTGAAAGTTTTCATCAAGCAAAAGCCTAATTTTTTTTATTTTTGAATAAATTAATTCAAAGAACACATGAAAATGTATTAAAACACAATACATAAAATTAATTCAAAAAATGCACGAAAATGTATTATTCGATCACCCCTCACTAGTAATGCAGTCAATCGAAATGCATGGGGCCACATGGCATTTCATAAATTATGCCTCAATTTGAATTTCTAAAATCATCAAGTTGAAGACTCAAAGTAACAAGTATTGTTTTAGCACAGACATACCTTCTATTAATTGAAATTAATTGGTGCAAAGTTAGATTTATATTGTTTATTGTGCATTTATCCGATGGTGACAGGTTTTTTTTTAAAGAATAAAAAAGGAATATGAACAAAATGAGATAAAAGAAGAGAGGATTGTAAACTTGTGAGGTAAAAGTAAAGGTTGGAAAAAGATGAAAGATTAATTTTGCATGGATAAAATATAACAATCACATATAAATCTGAACGGAGGAGATATTTGCAAACACTTAAAAAGAACTGAAAAGTTATTATTCTGAAGTGTACCACTTCAGAATAATCGTTCATTTCTTTTGCTACCCGCAGGTATAAAACTAAAAAAGGTACGTTTAAAAAAAAAGCTTAACATCAGAAACTTCCAATACTTCTCTTATAGTACATAGCAAGAGGTCTAATTCGGATGCATATATTTTGAAAAGCTAATAGTTTTAGGATATTTCGTAAATCGATATGACCTGCATTTAAGAAAAAATTTTTGAGAAGTTTAATTAAATCTTTGATAAGAAATAAAAGAAAAAAATTGAGAAAAAACTGCACAAAATTCCTAGTAAATAGTTAAATTAGGAAGATTTATGATAATGTATAACGATCAAATAACCAGTTATTTAAGTTATAGTCGATAAAAAAAATAATTATTACCTGTAACTGATTGTCTCTGGAATCAACGGTGACATTTAATACGGTAGCACTAATGACAAGTGATGCATGCTGTAATGAATCATTGAGTTTTGTCGGATCAAATAGGCAACTGTAGGATTTATGAGAATTTAATATTCCCACCAGTAGTGATAGTAGCAGTAATTGCAGAGGAATTGCCATGAATAATAATATCAGGCTATTTTGTTTGCATCAAAAAGGCACCATTTACCATAAACAATGTTAAGGCCTAACATACAAGTAGGCTCAGTTTACGACCAGTTCAAATTTTGCCCCTTCAGTTGATAGTGTTAATAATAGCCGAAAGATGGATGTCAAAGAGGTGGAAGGCAAAGAACTCCGCCCCAGTCTTATCCAACCCGACACACACACACACACACACACACACACACACACACACACACACACACACACACACACACACACATATATACACACACTCTCATGACAATATATTGAACAGAAGGAATTTCTCTCGGTCTATTGGGACCTATGATGTCTGGCCAAGTGATTAGGTTCATTCGGGAACAAAAGAATCAAAGTCTAGCAGTTTATCGGAAATTTTAAGAATTTATTATAATTTCAGATTTTTGCTCAATAAATTGAAATCTTGAAATTATTGTGCAAATGTTGCAGTTGTAGTCGAATCCTCTCTTTTTTCTCGTCAATGGGTAGCATTCAATCTGATACTGAACGAATTTGGAATAACTTATCATTTTCAAAATTTCGTTTTTTCTATTAAATCACTTATAATTAACTCAGATGATCAGTCATTCAAACTAATAATTTATATCCTTTTCGAAATATCTTTAAATAAGTGTATATTTTATAGTTTAAATAAATCAAACAATTAGACATAAGCCAGCCTCATTTGATTTTTGAAAAATATTTCTGCACAACTTTCAAGAAAGTAATTAAAAGAATTTGTGTTTGTAATTATGGTTAGTTAATTAGTGAAATTATATTGATAGCGACAATTTTACAGCAATAATTAAAACGGCAATAATGGTTACGGCAGAGATAATGATAACGATATGATAAAAATAACGTAAGTTGTAACTGTTTCTACCACTTATCTTTGTTAGTTTTATTATTTAAAAAAACAAATATGTATTTTTTAATATTACTTATTTAAATATTTCAGCAGGAATAGTGATTGTCTAGCGATATCAGTCTAAGAAAAATAAATTGTTTAATTAAGGTGTGCAAACTTATCAATTCAAGATCACTCATTTCATAAATGATTGGCAAAAAATATGCTGGAGCCAAAGAGGTGAGGTACAACGAGATTAGATCAGTAATTATCGTATTTTTTAGTTGGACGGTCATCATGCAATATTTTCATAATGATGCGATATCAGATGATGAAGTTCATCATCATCCAAACTTGAATCGATTACTTTACATTTCAAACTTTGTACGTAGTTTATCATTAACTGTACCTTAGTACAGTACTGTTTTAATTCTAATTAAAACGATGAAAAAGCTAGCAATTCCAACCACCTGACAAAAATCCAGGCTAAAATTGTTTTGGTAAATGATTGCACTAACGTAACATTAGTGTCTCCTTCATGATAGAATGTCATCAAATCATTGACAGATCTAAGTGCATTTAATGAGTGGAGGATTGACAGAACATCGCAATTATGATGGATAATTAAGACAGAAATTTAAATACCTGCAAAATGAAATTTAGGGATGTAAGTGAAAAGAAATTTTTTGCTGTGATTAACACGCATCATCCATAGAAGTAAACAAATGCAAATCTACATATTCTAAGTCTTCTCACTATTTTTAAAATAAACAATAGCAACGAACAGTGTAATTGCTAAAAAAAGTTTCACGAAAATTTAATATCCATCAAAAATTTGCTATAAATTTATAAATTTAGAATTTTGTGATAAAAAAATATTAACAAAAATACATGATAGTGTTCAGCTATTTCGCATCTTCTGAAAATTATCTTGAAATGCAGAATGCAAATAAATGAAGGAAACTAGCTGTTCACTCAACAGTAAGAAAAATCCTTCACTAAACTTCTGAATTTATTAATGTCCGACTTCCGGGAGAATTAACTATCAATTCTCCGTCTTTTAGTGACAAGAAATTGTGTAAATAGACATGAAATTTCTAGCTTCCTTTCCACTGCGTGTGAAATGAAATTTCTATTTCTTATCGTTTCTTCAATAAAGCGGAAGCACAGTTTATGCTCCTAAATCTTCAGTACAAGAAGTGCATTGTTATACATAGACATTTGAGGTAACTTAAATTGAGAAATGAACTTATAACAGACACGATCTCACAGAAATAAGAATTAACGATGAACTCACTGCGAGAAGGTTGCAACTTGATAAAGTCAAAAATTTGCATTTGTCAAGATTCACAAACAACATGATGCCCAAAATTTATTCATTTGAAAAACTTATATTAACAACTGTCAACCAGCAAGTATGTAGCAACGAAAAAGATCACAAAGCTGTTCTTTTCACATATACCGAAGATAATTACTATTAAATACTGTTGAAATTTCACTAATATCTCAATCACCGCTTCTGTAAGATCATTTCATTACCATTTGCATAAAGATGAATTTATCAATCGAGAAAAAGAAAAAAAGTGTTTGAAGTGCAGATACTAAAGTGAACGAAAACTTGCACATCCAAAATAGAACTCTCACCAAACTAGGATTTAAATTTAAAATCTTCCCTTATGGAAACAGCTATAAATACAAACGATGATAAAACCGAATTAAGGAAGACAAATAATGTGCCAAATATGGTTAAGTGCTACTCTATACAACCCTTAGAAAAATTAATAAAAACAGCAACAACTTTAATAAGACCGCGAAATTCATAAGTTCAGTGTAGAATCTGTCAAAACAGCAAAATAAAAGAATGGCTTCGAATAAAAAGAATCGCTTCTTACCTTTTTAACAATTGCAATATCCTTATCTTTCAGGAATGATTCCGGTTATAGCATGAAATAATAACAATAACAAAGGAAAACGAAGCTAGTTGTATCTCGGCGAGTAAAATGCATAATGTGTAAGGCAGAAATAGAATCATAAAATACAGATGAAAAGTATATCATGAAATCCGAAAACTAAAAATGAATCAGGGAGCACATTTGCATTCAACTAAAATTGTAACTTATTTTAAAAAAAGTTCAAGAAGAATGACCAGACATCCTACAATCTTTTCAGTGTTATCTTATCGAAATTTCATCGGTAAAATAATACTAAGAGGTGAATTGAACGATTTGTGAGAAAACCAGTGTAAATAAGATAGCTACTCAGTCTCGTAATTCTTGAGCTCATAAAAAATACAGTAATTAAACACGAAATATTCACAGCTGCCCGCAATTACTGGGACGATCCAAAGATTCAAAATGGTTCAATACAAACAATATCTCCATCACATGAAATAATGAATGATCTCTTCAGTGAAAGTTATGAAGAAACTATAAATCAAAACTAGCAAAAAATAAAAAAATAATGCTAAAATTATGTTGAGATCACTTTGGCAGATATAGGACAACCATTATTATGATGCGCTTGAAGCAACTGCCTTAGCTGAGCAATAGATGTCTCCAAAAGTTTAAGATCCTCATTCAAACGATTCGCTCTGAGCTTTTCTTCTTCTACCTGAAAAGTTATAAAAAGCAAAAATAATTCTGGTTGGTCTATACTTCTATTCAAAAACTCAATTCCAGTATTATTTCTTTCAACCTGCAGAAGACTACGTAATAGATAAAAATATTGTGATTTTAGCCTGTTGCTTTTGTTCTAACATCAAATATAAATATTCAATATTACTTCTATCTTCAGTTTAAACAGAGCATAGTACAATTGAATATGCAAATTTCATGTGACAATTTATTTTTAACATCACTGAAAGCATTTTCGTGCAATAATAATTATTCTCAATCTCAGATATAACAATGCCATTACACTAATTTTACTCACTGTTTCTGTTCAACATATCAGAAATCCCACTAGAAAGCTTAAATACACGGCTTGTAGAAAAGAGACAGTCAATTCCAAAAACTAAACATCTCCTCTATTAATTTCTCAAAAAAATCTAGGGAAGAATGCCCCGACTTAGTATTTCCAAGGCGCAAAATCACTTTGATTTACATCAAATTTCTAAGTAGATGCAAACTTCAACTGATTACAATGAAAAAAATTACACGTCAGAAAAAAGAATTCCTGAAAATAGTAGATAATCATATATAAACCTGTTTCTCGAGATCATTTATTTTTTGCAACTTCTTCTGCCTACATTTTGATGCCGCCAAGCGATTACGTGCTCTCTTTCTTTCCAGCTTCTTCTTCTCCTGTTCCAGTGCATCGTAACTATCACCACTACAAAATCTATTATCTGTTTAAACGTTTAATTTTCTCGTGTAGCAAACCACTTCTCACAAAAATGGTCATCATTTCTCACAAAAGTGATCATTTCAGTTTTCTCGAAATGAACTTAATTTCTTGAACTTAAGAAAGAGAACTGTGAAAATGACACTTGCTGACAGGAATAAAGCTTGATTATGCATCGAAGTGACATAGAGACTGGAGTTTTCATTAAAGACTTACGATAACTATTTTCTGAATACAAAATGAAGAGAGAATTGAGAACTCGAATTTGATAAAAATCAGTGAAGATAAACGCTTCCATTAAAATGGAAAATTTGATGATGTTTAACTGTGAATCAGGGAGACGAAAAAGCTTCCTGACAACTCCTAATTTATCTTATAAGAACTCCGATTTTATGATTTAAGTTTATCAGTTTTGCATGTGACTATTTTTCGTATGTATCAATATATCATATGCTCATATGTATTACCAACTTTTGCTACAGTACACTACCCAATCAATATTTTTTTTCAACTTAAAATAACGCTTGACACCTAAAAAATTAAATATACAACGAGCTGGCTGCTCACAGAATGATATTTAGACAGAAACTTTGATGGATGCACAACATCAACATAAGAATTTTAAAAATTTCCCATCTCAAAATCAGTTATGATATTGATCACATAAATCCTACTGCTAACCTCACCTAATAACAGTCCACTTTTCTGTACAATATGTTTTGAATATTCAAAGATATTTAAATACAATACAGTACAAAAATTTCAAGTACGAATTCTATATATTTCATATTAATTTATAGATATCAACAGATACATTCTTTTAAGATCAATTAGAATTTTTTACTCTCTTCTTCAAGAGGGGCCATCATTTCTGTATCTGCTAGAAACATCTCTATGACTGGTACTATTCTGTATTCGAACTAAGTGTACTTGTGGCGTTTTAAAACATCCGACCTCCACATTTCAGTTGCATCACAATTTTTATTGAAATTTAGTCTAATTACTAGTGTCTTTTACTTTACTCAATGCATCCTGCTGAAAGTTAAAGCCAAACACAAATACAAAAAGAGAAAAATTCTAGGCTAAAATGAGGAGAAATTGTCATGAAAACATCGGTTCAAAAATAAAATGCAAACATCATCCGAAAGCAATATCGGAGTAAAAATTTACTTTCTACAAAAAAATCTAAAAATCTAAAAAGGGCATTTTTTTTGAAACTCATTCAAAAAAATCTAAACAAAAGGCATTTAAACACTAATTTCAATCTGGAAATAGAAATTAAATTCTAGTAATTATATGGAAAACATACGAAAATGGACCCATAAAGATATGTTCCTCCTGACTTCGAGGGCTGGCACTTGAACGTATTGATGATGTGCATGCTTCAATTTCATGATTACTTTCACTGGTCGCATAAGCATCGTAAGTTGATGTATCATTGATACTGTCCGACTGTAGGGACGTTACCGAACTGCACCCTAAAATTAGAAGACAGCATTCATGGCAGCGAAAAGTATAATCCGAAATATTGAAATACAGTTTGTAACAGCAAAAAAGGCAGATATAAAAGCTAATATTACTTCCGCTTTCTCTGGTGATAGTACAAACAAGAACGTAACGATAACCTAGGATGTGGAATTTAAGATAGAATTTAAAATTTAAAAACTCATCAAAGAGAGAAATGAAATACTAAATATTTTTCTACAGTTATATATCAGTGCTTTGGAAAAAAATAATAGAATTAGGATCAAAAAGAAATCACAGTGAAAAAAAGTTTTTTGAGCGTTAAGTATCAGTAAAACACATATAT